TCCCCTAGGTCGACTCAGCCTTAAAATGAGTAGCTGGTGAGGTGTGTTAAAAAAAATCGCCACTGAGGAAGACAAAGGCGGTCGGGCGCGGTGCTGGCCATCATGGCACAGCCTCGTGCGCCCGTGTGGGCCTTCAGGAGGTGCCACAGGCGTGGATCCCACGGTCTCTGCGACTGTCTACGGGGGTCCTGTTACAAGATTGAGGTTTTATTTGGGGTCAGATCGCGAAAATGTGTCGTTAAACCAGCCACCACCCGACACAGCCAACTTAGTAAGGGTTGTCACGTAAACAGAACGTGGCCAATTCGTCACTAGTACAGCACTACACCGGTTGTGTGTAGGAGAGCAAAGCCACGATATTTACAATGTGAGTACGACGTTTCGCCAGTAATTACAACTAGCATCATCAGGCGTACAGACATTTTTTGTGGGGAAATCCTCCTACTCCTGTTTCGCTCGTTAATGACGTCACTTGTGAGCCCTTCACGTGCGAAGTTGTGGGGGGGGGGAGATTAATGAATACAAATACATTGCAATGGGCATCCATTGCCGGTTGCGTTATTCATATAGTCATTATTCTTGTACCTGCCGTCGTTTTCGTGCAATAAAATAGCAGGACATTTCATCGTATTGCGTACAGGTCATCGTCTGCGTCCAGGTTATCCCCATTGCCTTATAGTGACCTGTAAAGGCATGCGTTTAAACGATGAATTATTTGATGATTAGCTTCCAAGCAGCACTAAGCCTGTAGCTATCATAACGGTTAAAATTATTTTACTTCTCTCAATTTCGATAGCTTATCTAATTAGTCTTGGCCAGTAGTTACTCATTTCGCACACATTACGGATGATATTTGGTCGCGAAAGCCTCCGTGCTGTTCTACCTTGGACAACCGCGCGGCCTCCCGTTGGAAGGTGGAGTTCCCCGGTGGGAGGATGCCCTCTGATGAGGAAGATGGAGCGAGAGAGATCAGTGCTGGAGTGGCTGTCAAGTTGGGTGCAGGCGGTGCAACTGGCACAGGGGAGCCACGGGTCGGAGAGGCTTAGGCGTGGGTTTGCAACAGGGCACAATGCCAACCACCGATAACAGGAATATGTTCATTCGTGTTTTTAATAGTGCAGTATATATTTTGTTTTGATTCATAAATGTTATTAATGGGTAAATGTTCAGTAAATGAGACACAGTCTGTGACACTTTCCAGTTGTCTGCGTGAAAAGTGGTGGGCTAAGTTTTTGCCAAATCCTAAAAATGCTGGGGGGGGGGGGGTTTGTTAATATATAGCAGCGCCGTCATTCATGCAAATTGCGTCGGTCACAATCGCAGACCCACAGACACGAGCAGGAAGACAAGGCAGCCCAGACGGCGATGAGCCGACGGCACCACCGATTGGCCAAGCTCTGCGCTCCTCGAAAAATATCAAGATGTTTTCAGCCAATTTATTTGTCTGTAGAGTGGGAGGGAATCAGAGCACCCATAGAATACCCACGGCGTGCGAGGGGGACTACACCCTCCCATGCAGATGGCACAGTTGGGAGTCCACATTTGCTGACAAGCCATGGGTTGTGGCCTCCTCCTCTCGACGCCCACCGAATGAGAGATTCACATTCTATCCGACCCACCAACCCTCGCCTTTGCAGTGCTGCAGAATTACACTAACATCCGAATGCGTTTCCCAAAGTCTTTGCTTCCACCACGTGGTGGAGGGTGGTGGGGGAGTTTTCAGTTATGGCCACGTACACGAGGGGGCAGCACTCGATTAGGGAGCCTTGGAGTTTCAGAAGGTGTTGTTGCCCCTCTCTCCACGGGTCCACCGAGACAGCGATTGGACCAGACCACGGCGCAACCAGACACACGCCCCCTTCAGCCATCTCTTGACCAAGGCTCCACTTGCCAGCTCACTCGAGATCCAACTTGGGCTCGGTGTGCGATGGCCCAACTTGCGTGACTGGACTGGCTTGCCGGTCAAGCGAGTCGTGCAACAACACGACTGAATTGACAGCGATAGGAAGAAGACCACAAGCAGTGCACTCACCGAGAGGCGCGGGCAGACCCACGCGATGCCTGTAGCCTTGCAGTGTGCCATCCATCTCATTGTCATTCCAATGTCCTCTTCGTGTGCTACAGCTCCAGCAACTTGCGGTGTGTGAAAGTTTAGCTCCGACATCACGAACTGTGTATGAATAATTCCTAAGGTGAGGCAAAGAGTCTCACCGCTCAAAAATGCAAAAGCCCACCCCCCAATATATCCTGGGTTTAGTGATGGAATTCCACATTTGCATGACAGGGCCTAGTATATCCATTTAATGTCCATTATTTACATCCGACAAAGTGGTACATATTTTATAAACCCCCATAAAAGTTGATAGGCCTGGGTCAGGATCAATATCTCAAGTTCACTGCAGCGCATAGTTTCATCAATAAATATTTAAAATGTCAGCCACAATAAACTTCATAATGGACGGTGCCAAATCAAAGCTTCTTTGTTTATTATCTCAAAAAAACCACCACAAAGATACGTTGTGGAAGCTTATGACGGATAACTTCAAGCAGGCTGTAGTCGGCCCACAAAAAAAACAACAACGTTAACACAAGATACGACGCACCGCGTTCACAGAACACACCGTGTCCCCCCCCCCAACTGTGTGTGAGTGGGTTTGACAAGAAATGGGCGTCCCAGGGCCCATTACGCTTTGCAGTGTCTTAACGAGCATTCAACGTGATTAAATACGAGCCAAGGAACGGCCCAGAGCGCGTGCGTGCGTTCGTTCGCGCACACGCACGTACACACGAGTACACGCGAAGGCCGTGGAAAGTTACGGAGGTTTTTGTTGTTGTTGTTGTTCCGCCACAACTGAAGAAAAAAAAGTACAACGCCGTTTATTCATTATTGTACCATTCTTGCACACCGCGGGCAATAATGAAATATAAGCAGGCGTCTGTTTCATCGCCAACGTAAAACAACATTTCCGACGGCCAACGGGGCTTCTCGCCAAAATATTTTCGAGCAAAATGCGAAACCTCGCTGTAGGGTTTCGACTTCTCCGATAACCCCCCCCCCCCCCCGCTTTCAAATGGCACAGCCGAGCCAGCGCGCGGGGTCCACCGCGGGCAATTTTCTGTGCCGTGCCGTGGCCAAACCCCTTGGCTCCACTGGCCTCAGAAGACGCCAATCTGAATCTGAATCTATCTCGGGGAGTAGAGCAGAGCCAGGGAGCAGAGCCAGGGAGCAGGGCCATCGATGCGGGTTGCGTTCTGTCCCCCGACGAGCACGCTGTGTGGATACGTGGCGCCACATTATCTGCGTGCGTGCGTGCGTCTCGGGTGTCAGCGCGTTTCCGTGCGTGACGTCGGTGGCACGGCTTCTGGCCTGGCTTGGCATGGCCGCAGCGCGGCTCGCATGTGCAAATGGGAAAAAAAATCAGGTAACAGTATCATCCGCAGGCAGGGTGTGGCCATTAATTAAATGCAATTCGGGTTGCTCGGTGTTACAGGCAAGTAAACATCCATGAAAGTCACACCATGATTTAGCACAAAAAAAAGTGAATTATCATTATTTCTTGGAGCTAAGGTAAAAACGGGGAGCCCTACAATCGCTCGCTCACACCACTGCTAGAGGGGTGGCCACTAGAGGGAGCTCTAGGCCAAATACCCATTCTCTAGAGGGCCTGTCTACTCTTCTACGATGAGCAGGGGTCTTGGAAGAGGTGGGGGGGTACCCACGCATATTCCACCATACATGACCAGCCGATCGACTCACCTACTACGGTGTCCTCAATAACACTGTACGTATGTTCTTCTTTCGCACCGTACGTAGCCAACCGTGCTAATTGGAGGTGCGACCTGGATTGCCGGGTATATGGTAGTGGGGAGGGGGGAGGGAGGTGGGGGATTTGAGAAACCTGCCCCCCCATTGTTTCAACTGCCGCGCTGGGAAATCAAATAATTGAACCGTCGACCTCATTGATCGCAAGCCCAATTGTGCTGACCGTTACACCACGGAAGGCGTCGCCCATCTTGGGAGTGTGGTGGGTGGAAAATAAAACCATTTTCTCTGCGGCTGCCCTCAATCCTTGCTTACGGGTTCGTCGGCCACGTCCAGGGGTGGTCAACCTGCGGCTCTTTTAAAGGACTGCCTTGTGACACGTTATTTATTAAGGACCCACCACCAGCTGGGAATTCGGAAAAAAATGGCTTTTCTTATTCTTGGTTCTTCGGTAAAGTCACGTAGAAGGAAAATAATTTTTAAAAAAATTCTCACGTTTCGATTGTAACACAAGCAATTATCATCAGGTGTGAAAACCACAGCAAGAAAATGTTTTTCAATCGAAACATCGTGAGAATTTTATTGTTTTATTTTTTATTTCCCTTCCACGTGACTTTACCGAAAGAACCAAGAATATGAATCCCTGCAGTCACGAAAGCTTTAAAACGAAATGGCTCTTCTTGTTGTATTGGTTGCCGATCCCCTGGTCATGTACAACGTTGTGTTGTTCGCTTCTAGATTTAATCCGCCTTTCCCTCCACTATGCAAAGTCCAGAGTATACGTAATCTGCTAGCGTTTACATCTATTTTCATTCAGCTCCACTTCCTCAACAAGCTTTGCAGTTGCAGTCTCTACTTTCGCATTTAAATGTGAAATTTGCAACATTGTGTATTGCAGATTTGTTCTCTATTTCTATAAAGTTAACTTTTTTTTACCAAGTAAAGCCCACTGAGCTTATACAGCTCTTTTTCAGAAGTGACCTGGCCACAAATGATATCCCACTGAACTGGCTTATCATCATGTGAAAATGTGCAACAGCCGCCAAATACTCTGAACGCAACCAGCGGTGGTAGCGGCAAGCATAGAGAGAAGGTGGAAGTGAGCGGGGACGGTAGGTAATCGCGGGGACAACTTCACAAAAACCAACATTCCATTCAAAGCAATAAAATATTGTGCTCCCGATGTGTCTGAAGTACATGCTTTGCAGAACAAATGAAAAAGAATGTGGGAGCCAGGTGGGGTTTATGCCATTTAAATGAAGCTAATTTAACTGGGAACACAAGAAAAAAGTTGCTTCTGAAATTTAAAATGGCCTTAAACACTCCAAAACGTCTCTGAAAAAATAATTCGACAAGAGTTATTCATCCTTCATTACATTTCGTGACTCGCGAAACTTTTGTCATTTTACCACTTTTAACAAACGTTTTTCAAAGGTGATTGATGCAAAAAAAACCGTCCAATTCAGAGTGCATCTCTCGGCCTTCGGTCCGCCCATTTTGGGCCGGCGTCGGCAATCGACGGCGCCCCTTCGCCCACGCGGGGAAGGCGCCCGGATTTCCCCGCGGGCCCTCGCGCGGGCGCCGCTTCCCCCGGCCAGCGGCCCTCGTCCGCCTCGACCATCACGATGAGCAGGAGCGGGGACGTGACGGCCGCTTCGTCCGCAGGGCGCGGCAGCCCGGAGGCCTGCAGCGCAGGGCCAGCGGCTCGATCCCCCTCCTCCTCCTCCTCCTCCGCCGCCGCCACCGGCACCGCCATCTCCACTACGCTGCACTCGACGGGCGAGAATCCCGGCGACGCAGCGCGCACGTCCGCGGTTTCGACGCACAGCTTCTCCAGCTGCTGGTCGTTCACCTTGTGCCGGCTTTTGTAGTGAAGCCTCAGGCCGCGGTGGCCGGGGAACTTGGCGTCGCAGTCCTTGAAGAGGCATCCGAACGGCACGGTGGGCGGCTCGGCAACGCGCTCCTCCCCCGCGTGACCCTCGGCGTAGTGGGCGAGCAGCGCTGTCCTGGAGAGGTCCTCGAATTTACAATGCGGCACTCGGCAAACGTGACTTTCGGAATTCGTTTCACGAGCAGGGGGCATCCCGTCAGGTTCACCGCTGCCGTTGTTGAAGCGCCTCGCGGTCCGCACGTCGGTGTGCTCAGAGTAACGTTCACCCTGTAAGCCTGGTCTGGGTTGAGTGTGCACTCTGCGGCCGGTGAGAGGCATGTGTTGCGGATTTAGGCTGGGGATAATGTGCCGCCCCGCCGCTCCTGGAAACACGCCCGCCGGGTTACTGCTGCCCTCAGTCAAGGGATCTTTAGATCTGTAGAAAATTGGGTCTGCGTTGGTTGATAAACTACAAACGTTCGTGATGGTGAAGTCGCTGTTGTCAATGCACTCACTGTTTGAGATAACCTGCGAGTGTAAGCCAGAGTCCGCAGTCAATTGCGAGTTCATGATTTCACCACGTCCCACTTGTGAACCGTCTGTAGCTCCGAGATCAACACCAAAGCTAGCGCCACCTTCCACAGCCACAATGCAGAACTCACTGGCGGCCGAGTTGTTCACCACATAACTGACCGCTTCAGCTGTCACCGGACGCATTTGGCATGGCGGGTGACCTCTCTCTGAGAATGGGCTCGTGAAGGGAGGTACACAGTTTGTCTTGTGAGCTAGGTGCCCGCCCAGAGACTTTGGACTATCGAACGCTCTGTAGCACCTGCTGCACACGTATTTCCCATTTTTGTAGATTGCCGGCCACTTGGCGTAGCGGTTGTGGGAGCACCCACTGAGCAATCTGTCATGCTCCTGCGCCAGCCAGGGACTCCACGTCTCCTGCTTCTCTCTCTGCAGCGTGAGCAGCGTGTCCGCCCCGGCCTTATTGTGCTCGATGACCAGCGACTCTGGGAGCATGTACTGCTGCGGGGACGCAACCCGCTTGTATTCCTTGTGCGACACAGCCACGTGCTGCTTCAGGCTCCCTGGACACGTGTAGACACGCGTGCAGCCATTAATTCCACACATGAGCTTCTTCGGTACCTTCTTCCTCATCCCGGCCAATGCGGCCTTGCCATCTTCCCACGCGCAGGCCAGGTCATAGGGTTGCTTTAGTAGCATTTCTGTGTGTGCCTTGCGGGGCCACCTGTGCCTGGCCTGAGCAATTTGCTGGGAAATTAACGTGTGTGAACTTTCACCTCCTGAACTCACTGGGCCTTGCTCGCAGTGCCCTTGCACGGCCACCTGATCGAGCCAATTCTTGCTGGATGCACCCTCGTTTCCTCCAAAATCATCACCGGATGCTGCCACGTCACTAGGAGGCCTGCCGCAGAGACCACCCACATGTGGCTTATTCGTTTGGCGATGCGACTCCACTGGAGTGTTCGTGGTGAAGGACTTGACGGGCTGGGGCATGCTTTGGTTCTCAGCAAGCCTGTAGCTTTCCTCCCTGCTGTAGCCATGACAATTAATGTAGTGGCCTAACAGAGTGTGCCGTGTTGCCGCTCTGTACTGGCAGGAAGCAACGCAGCAGGGGATACGTTTGCCCGTCACTCTTGCAGGAAATCCCATCGAGCGCATTGCGTCAACTTGCTTCGGAGAAGCATTTACTTCAACGGAATCGGAGACTCCTGGGTCAACGTCATCTTCATCCAAAATCGAATGGTGGCCCATCACCATGCGGATTGCCTTGGTTGTGAATTGAGGGTCCATGAAGGCGGTCTTGTTGTGTTCGGCTGGTCCTTGAGAGATGCTCAAAAGGTTTGGAGGGGGACATATAAAAGCGGTGGGTGCACTTACACTGGTCTCTCCTCTTGCTACTAGGGCCTGCTCGCGAGCCATCCGTGGGTCGCTTTCATAAGTTTTCCAAAAGTCTCGTGGCGTGTTAGAAGACGTTGAAGGGCAGCTCCCTTCAGACTGGATGTGCTCCGCCTCGGCGCTCCGAGAGAGGCTGCAAACATTAGTTATGGAAATCGTTCCATCGCAAACTTCACTGTCGGCGGAGCTCAAACTGGGCGGGGAACCCTGCCGCTCCACAACCAGATTTGATGTAGTTTCTTGCTGTTCCATTTGTGTACCTTCTCCGCAAGGCTTCAACGTGCACCCTTTATTGGAAGGGGAAACACAGCCACTGCGACAAGCTTTGTCTGTTACGTGTGGCCACTGCTGAACTCTCATCTGGGTCTCATTTCCCAACATATCCAACTCAGGTGCTGACAACTTTTGAGCAAGGCAGTCTTTTTTTGACCGAGTAACATCTTCAGAAGTTGCATCTTTATCACTGACAACGCTCGAAAGCCCCAACTCACACGGGGCGTCTCCTCCCACCTCCATGAGTTTGTCCACGCTACCATCAAAAACGCTCATTGATTGTTTCTGCTCACCACCATCGCTCATCCACAGTGGGGAAGGTATGCAATTTTTCCTGGCAGACAGGTGGCCGCCCAGTTGTTGCGGGTTGTCGAACGTCTTGTAACACTTGCAGCAGATATACTTGTCGTTTTTGTATATAGCAGGCCACTTGGCACGCTTGTTATGGGTACAGTCAGCCCGTACACTCTCCACCTTTTGTTTTGGAGTCTGCACCTCCGACGACGACTGCCTTGGTACGACCGTCTCGGCTTCGTCAACGGCGTTGCCTCCTTCCGCGGGCTTCACGAGGTCACGTTCCTCCGTCACAGCTTCGTCGCAGGCTCCATGGGAGAAGCTCACATGCCTCTTCAGGCTGCTCAGCCAGATGTAGGAGCGATTGCAGCCACTGACGTCGCACACAAACTTCAGCTGATCTCCCTCCCGCCCCACCTTGGGCTCCTGGGCGGCGATCGTTTCTCCGTGCGATTTTTTTGGACTTGCACAGCAAGGCTGGAACATCTCCCCCTTGCCCCCTCCGTGCCTCCTGCAAACCCCGGTGTCGAACATGTCCCAGACATCGACGCTGCAGACGGGGGCACACAGGCGGTGCACCTGCTCGTGCAGCTGGGCGTCTCCACTCCTCCTGAACCTTGTGCCGCAGTCCACCTCTGCGCACACGTACCAACACCGACCGCCGTGGACCTCCACGTTCGCGATGCCTTGACCTGCGGCCCCCTCACGTTTCACGGTCCAGACGTCGACGTTCTTGCCGAGTCCCTGCTGCTGTCGGTGGACGACATCGAGCTGTTTGCAGGGAGCCACGGTGCCCTGGCGGCTTTCCGCCGTTTCGGAGTCTGTCGTGACGGGACCTGGAAACACATTTTTGTCTGCAGTGCTCAAATGTTCTGCCCTGCAACCATCTTCAGAGGGTGCTTGGCTGATGAGGATGCGCTCCACCGCTGCCACCTCCTTGGCCCTGTGATCCACCTGCATTGGTGTTTGATCAACCACATCCAAACATGCATGACCCACATCATCCACCTCATTCAACTCCAACCTCACCACCTCCTCCACCGCCCCACGGTCCACCTCCTGCACCATCTCACCCTTGTTTTCCACCTCCGTCATCACCTCCTTCGGGTTCACATAATTGACCTCCTGCTCCACCTGCTCCAGAGATCCATTGCGTACCTCCTCCATCACCTTCTCCACCCCTCCATGTTCCATCCTCTGTTTCACCTCCTCCACAGCCCTAACGTCCATCTCTTTCATCAACTCCACATATCCGCGGTCCATGCACTTCTCCACCTCCGTTTCCACCTCCTCTATGGTCTGACTGTCCACCCCTTTCAACTGCTCCACCACTTCCACAGTGCCAAAGTCCACCTCCTTTCGCTCCTGCTCCACCTCCTCCACAGTTTGATTGTCAATGTGCTTCCTCTCCTCCGCAGTTCTAATCTCCACCTCTTTCATCACCACCATAGACCTATAGTCCACCTGCTGCTCCACCTCTTCCTCGGCCCAATGGCACACCTCCTTCAACTCCACCTCCTTCGTTGCCCCGATGTCCACCTTTTTCCACTCAATCTCCTCCACGGTCTCATTCCCCACCTCGTCCGTTGTGCCACCATCCACTGCGCGTTCCAACTCCTCTATGATCCCACCGTCCATCTCCTGCTCCACCCCTTGCTCGACCTTCTTCTCCATATCACAGTTGTCCACCCCTGCTGCACAGCACGCCGGTTAACAACGCCGTGGTACAGACGGACCCCTAATTATTACCCAGACATCTCCCTCCTCCCGTCCTGAGGCTGGGTCTCAAACTCGAACCCACGTCAACATCTTGAGCTTCTTCCCCAATTATTTACAGTACTGCCGCCACGGCACTTGGGCCAGGCTAGGTGCACCTTGAGGCCAAGTGAGGGATCACGTGGCAGACCCAGGTGCCATGGGATGAGTGAGATAGATCGATGACAGCCTAATGATGTACATTACCACCAGCATGGCACTTGTGCCAGGCTAGGTGCAGGTTGAGGACAAGTGAAGTGTCAGAAGGATCGGCGCCAAAGGGATCACGTGGCAGACCCAGGGTGCCATGGGATAAGTGAGATAGATCGATGACAGCCTAATGATTTACATTACCACCAGCACGGCACTTGTGCCAGGCTAGGTGCACGTTGAGGACAAGTGAAGTGTCAGAAGGATCGGCGCCAAAGGGATCACGTGGCAGACCCAGGGTGCCATGGGATGAGTGAGATAGATCGATGACAGCCTAATGATTTACATTACCACCAGCACGGCACTTGTGCCAGGCTAGGTGCACGTTGAGGACAAGTGAAGTGTCAGAAGGATCGGCGCCAAAGGGATCACGTGGCAGACCCAGGGTGCCATGGGATGAGCGACGGAGACGAATGGCAGCGTGATGATTTAGATCGGAGACAAAGACCCTCCCCCCCATGCAGACCTAACACTGTTGGGGCAAGTGCCGTTAGCGAGTAGCAACCGATGAAGGCCGACACGGCGCACGAGGGGGTGGGTGGCCAGCACCACCATCATCATCAACCACCAACACCACCAACCACAACCACCATCACCAACCACCACCATCAACACCACCAACACCAACCACAACCACCACCACCATCACCAACCACAACCACCACCACCATCACCAACCACAACCACCACCATCACCAACCACCACCACCATCACCACCACCATCACCAACCACAACCATCACCACTACCATCACCACCACCATCACCACCATCATCAACCACCAACACCAACCAGCACCACCATCATCATCATCAACCACCAACACCAACCAGCACCACCACCACCACCAACCAGCACCACCACCATCACCAACCACCAACACCAACCAGCACCACCACCACCATCACCAACCACAACCATCACCACCACCAACCACAACCATCACCACCATCATCATCAACCATCAACACCAACCAGCACCACCACCATCACCAACCACCAACACCAACCAGCACCACCACCACCACCATCACCAACCACAACCATCACCACCACCAACCACAACCATCACCACCACCAACCACAACCATCACCACCATCATCATCAACCACCAACCAGCACCACCATCACCACCATCATCATCAACCACCAACACCAACCAGCACCATCATCATCATCAACCACCAACACCAACCAGCACCACCACCATCACCACCATCATCAACCACCAACACCAACCACCATCACCACCACCACAATCATCATCATCACCACCACCATCATCATCAACCACCAACACCAACCAGCACCACCACCATCACCAGCCACCACCGCTACCGATGTTGCAGTCAAGCGCCTGTTTACTTTTATAACATTCGTTACGAGGCACCGCGCATTCTCCTCAGGAATTGTTTAGTTTTTTTGTTTTAAAAGGCACGCATTAACAATTATTATTAATAATAACGGCACCGTAACGACAATAACAATAATATTAATTGCAGCGATATTAATATCGGATACAGTACTGCGTTGTGCCGAGGCCGAACAGAGGGTGAGATGAGCGGTCACGTGACGCGAGCGCCGTACCTCCATGTTATGTTGGTGACGTCATCCCGCGTGACGTCACTGGCCGAGGGGAGGGGGGGATGGGGGGACCGTGGGGGGGGGTGCAGAATCAGGAATCTGTTCGCGTTCACATTATGCAAATTATATGGTAATGCTATTGTAATGATGTCATAATTATGCTAATGAATGGCAGGCGTGGCAGTACAGACACTCCTCTACTTACGAACGAGCTGGGTTCCAGAGGTCTCTGTTCGTAAGTCAATTCTGTTCGTAAACCCAACTTGACTCCTGTCGAATCCAAACGTGTTGTACGGCGTGTACACTAAACACGGGGTTAACACTAAACACGGGCATTGCCTCTAAAAGTTGTAATCTCCTGTAGATGCCAATGGTTCTTGACGTTCTGCAGATGTAGATGCCACTGATTCTTCACGTTCTGCAGTAGTAGATGCCACTGGTTCTTCACGTTCTGCAGATGTAGATGCCACTGGTTCTTTACGTTCTGCAGATGCCACTGATTCTTCACGTTCTGCAGATGTAGATGCCACTGGTTCTTCACGTCCTGCAGATGTAGATGCCATTGGTTCTTCACGTTCTGCAGATGTAGATGCCACTGATTCTTCACGTTCTGCAGTAGTAGATGCCACTGGTTCTTCACGTTCTGCAGATGTAGATGCCACTGGTTCTTTACGTTCTGCAGATGCCACTGATTCTTCACGTTCTGCAGATGTAGTTGCCAATGGTTCTTCACGTTCTGCAGATGTAGATGCCACTGATTCTTCACGTTCTGCAGATGCCACTGGTTCTTCATGTTCTGCAGATGTAGATGCCACTGGTTCTTCACGTTCTGCAGATGTAGATGCCACTGATTCTTCACGTTATGTAGATGTAGATGCCACTGGTTCTTCACGTTCTGCAGATGTAGATGCCACTGATTCTTCACGTTATGTAGATGTAGATGCCACTGGTTCTTCACGTCCTGCAGATGTAGATGCCACTGGTTCTTCACGTCCTGCAGATGTAGATGCCACTGGTTCTTCACGTTCTGTACATGCCACCGCCATCATCGATTGCGCAGTGGTTGGGCTTACGGCTCTCGGTCCGAACATGCAGCTGGACATACAGAAGGGGGTTTGTTCCAATCTCTGAATGTTCGTAAGTAGAGGTCATGCATATGACGTAACAATTGTTAATTCGCATCGTCGGCCATAGGATGCAGATATCTATAATAGGCGACGTTTGGGGTAATGGGCCTTCACAGAACACGAGAGGTTAGAGGTCGATGTGATTTTAATGAGTGACTACTGTGTGGTGTTACAGTATCTTGGTGTGGTCTGGGACTGTTGTTTTTACTGCCTTGCCCAAAATGTTCATAAATCGGACTTATCATTCACGTATTAATTATTTATATTTTAGTGACTTGCTTACAAATCTATATTTTGCACTCATATCGTGCGAGGCGTATTGTTGGCTAATTGTTACTTGCCAAGCCCGTGCTCATACCGGACATCTGTGAAAAAGAGCTTCATAGCTCATCGGATTCCTCCTTCAGTCTCAATATCGATTCTGATAAACGGAGTCATTTTTATTTATATTTGATAGCCAGCGAAGTGGTGATGCATTGGTTACAATTCCAGTACGTTTCGCCGGTAATGACAAAACATTACCGGCGAATTGTAAATTCTGTGGGTTTGCTCTCCAACACAACCGGTGTTATGAACAACTAATTGGCACGTTTTGTTTACGTGACAAACCTCATCAATTGACTCGGATCGTGGTGGGTTTAACGACAGTTATATTTACCCCCCCAAAAAAAAGCTCCTGGATATTGGTCGCGAAAGCCTACGTGTGAAACAGAAAATATAATGCTCGTCAGCTTGAGTTTGGTTATTTGTGCTTTGCATCACTGCCAACGCAGCATCACCAAATAATTAGGTCCCGATTCATCCCGACTAGCTTTTGTGAACTTGTGCTTTTCGCGTGACACGATTGCCGATTCAAATTGGCAGTCTGCATCTCTTGACATGGTTCAGAGGTCGTCAGGCATACGCATGTTGAACTTCTTTCGCACCGCACGTAGCCAACCGCGCTAACCGGGAGGTGCAGATCGCACTGTTGAAACTCCTTTGAGTTGCATGTTCCGACACGGGTAAACTCAGATACAGGTGCTGTGATCAGGGGCGGAGCCACAGGGGGGGGCTGGGTGGGGGCTCGGCCCCCCCTGAAATTTTGGGAAAGTCGGTAATCGGGATAACCGGATATCCGGCTGCTGCAAAAATGCAGGCTGCCACCTCGTGCTGCCCTGCAGGCTGCCACCTTGTGCTGCCCTGCAGGCTGCCACCTTGTGCTCCCCTGCAGGCTGCCACCTCGTGCTACTCTGCAGGCTGCCACCTTGTGCTCCCCTGCAGGCTGCCACCTTGTGCTACTCTGCAGGCTGCCACCTTGTGCTGCCCTGCAGGCTGCTTGAGCGGCAGCCTTTCAAACTTATCGAACTTATTAGCCACATCTGCGGCTCTGACCTATTAAAAAAACTCCGCGTTCAAATCCAATAAAATGTTTTATACATAGGAAAACATACACTGGATATCTCAGAATATTGAAGTCAGCCCCCCCCCCCCCCCCCCCAAGTCAAAATCCTGGCTCCGCCCCTGGCTGTGATGGAGTTCTCGCCCATTTCGACTGGGACACAAGCATAACACTTCATGGAACAGAGGACCCTCTGTATCTGGAGAATTCAACTTGATTGTTGGCGGAGACGACAGCGCTGTGTGGAAGCTGCCGAGCCTGATGCCTACTTGTTCGCTCTTCTGTATTCTTGGGAAATGTGAAACGCTTTACAGGCACACCTGTCCCGGCTAGAACAGGGGTGGGGGGTTGCTCAACTTAAAAAAAGAAGCCAATTATTTTTAGATTTTTTTTGTCTTTGACCAAAATAGTTCAACAGCCGCACCACACGCAGAGCTTTGTGTTCACAAAATAGGCGATGGAATAATCTGCGTCTATTTAGTCGTCTCATTTAGTTTGACTGTTGTACATTTTATCACGAAGATATTATTCCATAGTGACCCATATTCTGTCCTATTTTTATCAATTATCTTTACGATAAATTGCGTTAAAAACATTTTTTTGTTAATGTAAATGGCTGTCCACATGGGGGCAGCCAACATAGCCGCCGCAAGCGGCTCTGGAGCCGCAGGTTGCCGACCCCTGGGCTAGAGACATTCAGCATCGCCTGTCTACAACAGTGGAGTCGAGGTGTAACCAGGCTGGATTGCGTGGAGCTCACAGATCCTCGAAAGATACGAAGGTTTCGGTGAACTCCGGCAGGCGAGGCTGTGTTGGTTAGGCAGGGGCAGAGCCAGGATTTTGACTTTGGGGGGGGGGGGGGCTGACTTCCGTATTCTGAGATATCCAGTGTAATGTTTTCCAATGGGCGCCACAAATGTATACAACAAATTTTATTGGATTTGAACGCGGAGTTTGTTAATAGGGTCGGAGCCGCTGACGTGGCTAATAAGTTCGAAAGGCTGCCGCTCAAGCAGCCTGCAGGGCAGCACAAGGTGGCAGCCTGCAGCATTTTGCAACAGCCGGATATCCGGTTATCCCGATTACCGACTTTCCCAAAATTTCAGGGGGGCTGAGCCCCCCCCAGCCCCCCCTGTGGCTCCGCCCCTGTGATTAGGTCATGGAGCCCGCATGCCCACTCACCGCATGCCGAAGAAGCTTCTGTTCTATACATGTGACAAATCAAATCTATATAAAAAGATATATATACAAATTCAAAACTTTATTTATATTAAAGTTATAAAAAAAGTGTTTGTATTGAAGAGTCAAGACTAACATTTTTCAAATTAAGGCATAGCCAATTATAATTATTGCATTTACACATTTAAATAATGTAATGTCAATCTGAACAAGGTCCAACACTGGCCTTCAAGAAACCTGAAAGTAGAACAATTAAACGCACAACGCTGGCTCGATGCCACTGATGGAAGTCACTATTCGATAATGACAATTTTAGATCCATACAATGATCCGAATTGATCGGGGGACCTCCTGGACCAACACAATCTTTTTGGCTCATGCGGCACGCTCATCTGTGAATTTGCATCAACTCTGCATGTAAAAAAAAACCATTGTTCAACAAGGTACCCCCTGTGGTGACAAATGGACAACAGCCATCAACTGAAAGCAATGCATTTACTAAGTTACAAATAAGTCAAAAGCAATACATCGTGGTCACGAAATCATACAAGTATCTCTGCAAGGTTTTCATTAATTTTTCAGTTTATTATAAAGTCGTTTCGTAGCAAGCCCCGTGTAAAGCGACGTTCTATACACCAAAGTCAAAACTCAAACCAAAAAAGACTAAATGGAAAAACCAAACTGGACTGATAGTATAAACTCAATGTTTCATTGCCAGTGGAGTTTACACGGTAAACGTGGCAATATCAATTAAAAGAGCACCATCAGGTCACAACACAGAAATGTTATATTGGCATTGTGGGGGAAACAATTGTATCCTTTGCAGAGAACATGATAGTTTGTAAATAAAAGGCAAACCTGCTATGATAAGTCTATATTAACAGGCGGTTTCACTGGTGTAATGGGAGGTTTTTTTACAAGGTTGAAAATGAAAACCACTATGTACATACCACCTTACAACTAAACGTGTTTTCCAGAAAATAATTAACCCAAACACAATAGATAAAATTAAAAAGGTCGATTTACGAACGTTACATTTTTTTCATTCATTTTTTTTAATACATGCTCACAGCCCTCGTCACTAGACACATTAATACTGCTGACGATCATTGTGAACGCACAACGCTACGCTTGCAGATCCACAGCCACTGGCAGAAGAGAGTCCCGCGGATCAGAGTTCCTCTGCAGCCTCTCCAGGATCACCACGGGCTTCAGGGACAGCAGCTGCTTCACCTTGAGCTGCGTGTGCTGAAGCAGCCGCTTGTCCAGCACGAGACGCAGCCCCTTCACGTGCCCGGAGACCTTTCCCGGGATGACTATCACCTCCTCGAAGCTCGACCTCCTGTTCTCCAGCGGGTGCAGCACCGGGTGCCTGTGCGCGTCCGGCCCCGACCGTCGCAGGTGCAGGGGTCCCGCGCCCATTCCCCGCATGGGCGCAACGCCGTGAGCCCTGCGCGTGGCCTGCAGAGGCTTCTGCCTGCCGTCCGCTTGCTTCACCCAGATCATCCCCTTGTGGCCGCCGCGACTGCCGCGGCCGCCCCCACCGCCGCTGCCGCCCTGCCTGTGGATCTGCGAGTTTTGCAAAAACTTGATGAATGACGACTCGAATCCCACGGGTTTGACGTTCTCCAGCAGCTGCTGCAGCGGTCGCTCGCGCTCCACGGCGGCCGGGCGTTTCTCAGGCGCGGGGGGTGGTGGTGGCAGGGCAGCGGGCGGTGGGGTCGTCTCGGCCTGCTGCTCACCTTTTGAGGACTCCCCTTCCCCCTGCACTTCCGAGGTGACCTGCGCGGCGCCCTCGCACACTTGTGGCGGCTCCGAAGTCGCCTCCGTCGTGCCGGCAACCGCGGCGGCGTCCGTTTGATCGGGCAGCTTCCTCGGGCGGCCTCGCCTGCGCTTCGGGTCGGACACTGAGATGCCTTTCAAGATGCACTTCTTGTCCAGCCGCTTTGCGGGAACGCGTTTCGTCGCCGTCTGGGCTCGCAGTTGATTCTGGGAGCCGGGAGCGCTCTTCGAAAATCCAGAAACGTTCGACAAAAAGTTCATCGTCTCCGTGCCACTGCCGTTCACGACGTCGAAAGTCGTGGTGGTTGAGAAACTCGAGCTGGAATCTTGCGGTATCGGGATCAGCTCTCCGCACCGATTGATTATTCCCGACGGCTCCAGATCACCCTCGAGCAGCATGCGCACACCATTGTGTAAAATGTCAGGGTCATGCTCAACTTTAATCACTCGCTGACTCTGCATCTCTTTCCACACTCCTTCTTGCTTCGGCTTTTCCAGAGGCTTCGGCTCGGTGTTCCCTTCCTGCATCTTGTCGAGGAAACCTTCATTCCACTTTCGCCAAATGTACTCATAGCCCCGACAGATGACCAACTTTTTGTAGTTGAAATTTAATTGCGTCGTGGGCATCTTGTGAACCACTCTGTAGTGTCTCATGAGGCTATACTGGCTGCGCACAACTCCTGCACACTCCTTGAGCATGCAAGGATACTGATCTTTGCATATGTCCTTTTTGCAAATCTTTAGCATTTCTAGCTCCGTTTTCAGTAAGCTGGGGCAGATGGCGGTTGGCGGGGGGCCTTGTGGTGCAGCATCGTCACCGCCGCTCTTTGTAGTCGCAGATGGGACGTCAGGTGGAGCCTCTGTCACAACACACTTCTCTGGCTGCTGCAGCTGCTGTTGATGCTGTTGATTCTGCTGCTGCTGTTGCTGCGGCTGCTGCTTCTGCGGATGCTGATGCTGCGGGTGATGCTGCTGCTGCTGCGGATGCTGCTGCTGCGGATGCTGCTGCTGCGGATGCTGCTGCTGCGGGTGATGCTGCTGCTGCTGCTGCGGATGCTGCTGCTGCGGATGCTGCTGCTGCGGATGCTGCTGCTGCGGCTGCTGCTGCTGCTGCGGATGCTGCGGATGCTGCTGTTGCTGTGGATGCTGCTGTTGCTGTGGATGCTGCTGCTGCTTTTGATGCTCACGATGTTCCACATCCGAGGCCGGCGGGACGTCGGGCGTCTCCTCTTTGCTCGCCTTGAATGCGTTCTCGAGCGAGCACTGGTCCCCAGAGCTGCTGAGCTCTTCACTCTCGTCCGTGGTGCCGCTCTGCTCGCACTCCGAGATCTGGACGCCGCCGTCAGAGTCGGAGAGGCGCGGGCCGCCATCCTTTCCGCCGAGGTGCTTCTGCTTGATGTGAGCCTGGAGGTTGAGAGCCACGCCGAATGAGGCATTACACCCCGAGAAGTTGCACGCGAACGGCTTCTTCTTGGGCGCCTCGAAGTTGATGCCGTGCTGACTCTGCTGGTGCCGCTGGAGGTTCGAAAAGCGAGTGAAGGAGCCCAGGCAGTTGGGCTGGTCGCAACGGAACTCGCTGATGTACTCCGTTGGAATGGTGCTCCGCACCTCCTCCAGGGTCATGTGGTGGTTGTAGGAGTAATGGCGTATCAGCTTGTACAGCTGCGTGAAGGACTTGCCACACTCGATGAGGTTGCACTTGTAGAGTCGCATTATCTTCACGACGGGCGGCTCGTCCTTGTGCTTCGCCAGGTGCTGCTGCAGCTCTTCCTCCGTGCCAAACAAAGCCTTGCACCACTTGAGCGTGCATCGGATGCCCTTTTGCTTGATCTTGTTTTTGATCTTCTGCTTCACCTTCGCGTTGATCCTCGCCTTGATGAAGTTCTGGAGAGCCTTGTCGCTTAATCCTTTGCTGGATTCACCGCCGCCGCTGCTGCCGGCGGCGGTCTGCTCCTGGACAACCGGAGACTCTTTCGACTGCAAGAGCTCGCTCAGCGACGAGCTCCATTTCCTCTCCAACTTGATGGCCTCCTTCAGGCGCTCGTCCTCTGCCATGAAACCACTTTTGCGAGCCGGGTCCCGATCGCCACTCATCGACGGCGACAGCGGTGGAGCCATGTCCGGAGCGGTCATGTGCGGCGGTGCCAGGCCGCCAGGGTCCACCCCGTGCTCCTCGTTGGGCTCCACTTTGACGATGTGGTGCACGGGAGTCGAGCAGGTGGGCCCGGCGCCGTCCTCCTGCGGCAGCCCCGTGGCCAGGGTGGTCGGCGGCGGCACCAATATCTTCAGCTGCGGCGGAGGCTTCTCGTCGGCCATCTCCTCCGAGCTGCATCCGACCGCCGCCGAGTCAGGCAGCAGTGTCGGCGGCGCCAGGGCGTTGAGGGACTCACGGCACAGCTTCTCCAGCTGGACTTCGTCGATTTTGTGGCACCCACGGTAGTGCGACCGGAGGTTGGAATTTCGGGTGAACGACTTCTTGCAGTCGGGCATCACGCAGCGGAATGGCGTGAAGGTGGACTGGCAGTGGCTCAGTTGGGCGACGTCGTTCTTGCTGTAGCTGTGGACTTTCGTGTAGTGGTTTACCAGTGCGCACCGCGTCAGCGCCCCGTACTTGCAAAGTGAGATGTGGCAAACGTAGGGCCTGATCTTCATCTTGGATGGGCGATCCGATTCGTCGGACGATCGCTTCCTCTTCCTCGGCTGCTTCACGACCTGCGCGTCGACGCTGTCGGAAAACTCTGGGAAGAACTCGTCGTCGAAGCCGAACCTCGGCTGTCCCATGCCGGCGTCGCCCGCGCCGGGACTCCAGTAGTGCTGATCGTAATTGGTGCCCGACCACACGCTGGCGTTCGCCGCGCCGTTCGCCTCGGCCCTTCCGTCCGGGTTGTCAAAGTCCATCTGCCGCACCGTCTCCAAAATCTCGCTCACGCTCATCTCTCCGAAGAGTCCACCCTGGATGGTGGGGTAGACCCCGGACGGCTGCAGGTCGGTTGAAAACGCGCCAGGCTCCACCGCCTCGGCGCCAACCAACTCCACGTGTGCCCGGAAGCCGGGTGGGGCGCCACCGTCCGCGTCGCCGTACTGCCCCATCATGCCCTCGGCGTTCAGGTCCGGCGGCGGAGGCTTGAAGAGGTAAGCGGAATCGGCGAGGTTGATCTCGGGGCTCGAGAACGGCGGCTTGTAGGACGACGACAGTGGCCGCTCCGGCACGCCACCGTCGGCGCCCGTGAACGGCGCCCTGTAGGGGTACGGCGCCGGCGTCGGTGCGCAGCCGTCGAATGATGGCAGCGGAGGGTCCGAGGAGCTCAGGAGGCCCGGCACCGGCCCATCGTACGGCTGGTTGTACGGATCCACGTTGATGGACGGGTCGACCTGAGAGTTGACGGCGTACGCCTGCCTGAAGTGGTCGGTCACCTCCGCCGAGGGGCTGCTGCTGTGCATGGGATTCTCGCACGGCTGGATGAAGGAATCCGACGAGTTTGAGCTCCAGTCCGTCCTCTCCAGCGGCGGCGGCCTGTAGGGCACGAGGGGCTGGTCGCTGGAACTACTCTCCAGGGACCCGTCCAGCGCTTGCGAAGTGCCGGACAAGTCGGCGTCGGCGGCCGGGCTGAAGTCTTCCGTCTTCACGAAGGTGAGCTGCTGGGCATGGCCAGACAAGGCCTGGAACTCACCACCTTCAGCCGCGTCGGAGCACAGCAAGTTGGCCTGCCGGGGCGTGCCTTGCTTGATATTCATGCGCGATATGGCAGCGGCTTCTTGACCCGCAGCCTGGGTCCTCCCCTGTGCCATCACGTTCTGGGCGTCACCGCGGGAATCCGGGAAGCCCGCGCTGGCGGACGGCAGTGGCCTCTTGCATTCACCAGGCACGTCATCCAGATCCTCCTTAACAGCGCCATCGCTCCCGTCAACTCCATCGTCGTCGTCGTCATTAAATGTGTCCATCATCACCATCTCGTTATCCTCCGATTTGAACGCCGATTCCTCCCGCTCTTCCGCCATGGCTTCGTTCGATTCGTTCTCGTCGCTGTCCCCAGACTTCCCAAAGGGAGGGTTGCAGTTTTTCTTGTGGGCCAGGTGCCCGCCCAGCGACTTGGGGTTGTCGAAAACCGAGAAGCACCGGCTGCACATGAACTTGCCGTTCTTGTAGATCGCCGGCCACTTGGCGTAGCGGTTGTGCGTGCACCCGGTCCGGATCCTCATCTGGCGCTGCAGCGGACGCGACCGAACCCTCTCGCGCTGAGCCTTCTGCAGGGCATGCAGGGCGCCGCTCGCCGCTCCGCCGCCAAACATTCCGGCCGTGCCGTCCTCGCCGCGCAGCGTGTCCGGCAGCAGGTGGCGCTCCTTGGTGACGACCTGCTTGTGCTCCTCGTGCGACATCACGATGTGCTGCTTCAGGCTCCTCAGCCACGTGTAGGCGCGCGTGCAGCCGTTGATGCCGCAAAGGAACTGCTTCAGCGCCTTCTTCTTCACCTTGACGAAGCCCTGCGCCGTGCCGATGGTGTCGAGTGCGTTGCGCATTTTGGGGTCGACCATCACGTCGCCGTCCTCCAGGTTCTCGGGCAACATCATCACGAGATCCGAGTGCGCCTTGCGCGGCCGTCCCCTGCGGCTCTGCGCCTTGTCGCCGCCGCCCCCGCCGCCGCCGCCGCCGTTCGATCTGTCGCCCTGCTTCACGCGCAGCTTGGAGATGGGCTTGCGCGGGCCCACGCCGAACATGTCGCACACGTTGACGGAGCAGGAGAACACGCCGAACTGGTAGTGCTTCGCCTCGTGCTTGTACAGCAGGTGCCTCTGGCTGAAGCGCTCGGGGCAGTCGCCGTAGCTGCATACGGCCCTGAAGTGCTTGTGCCGCAGCGAGTGCTCGCTGACTTCCTCGGCGGTGCGGAAACGCTTGCCGCAGTCCGCCTGGATGCACACGTACGGGCACGGCCCCCGGTGGATCTTCATGTGGTCTTTCTGGTGGTCGGTCGTCTCGAACTTCCTCTTGCAGAAGCGGCAGCTACGCCGGCGCGCCTCCTGCTGCTGCACGAGCGCGTCGATGAGCTCCTCGTCCTCGCTGTGGAACATCTTGGCGTGGGCCAACATGTTCTTGAAGTACTTGAACAGCTTCTGGCAGCCGTTCGCCGGGCACACGAAGGTCTCTTCGGTCCTCGCCGGCTCCGCGGCTCCGTTAGCCTTATCGGGGAGATAGGAAAGATCTTTAGTCTCATCGTCCGAACCCTCGGGGTCACTAAAAGTGATAAAATCCTTGCCGTAACCGGTGCTCTTCCTCACCCGGCGGTGGTTGATGGGACGCCCGTATGAGCTGCTGCTGTTGTCGCTGCTGTCCCCTCCGTCGTCGTCGTCGTCGTCCCCCGACAGCCTTTCCGAGCTGAACAGCTTCTTCTTCTGCAGCTGCATCATGTGGCGCACGCGCTTCACATGCATCTGCACGTGCCACAGGCCGTCCTGCAGCTCGCGGAACTCCTTGGGGCACAGAGGGCAAAGCAGCACGCCCTTCACGATGTGCTTCTGCGAATGCCGCACGATGCGGTGGCCCAGCACCTCGCGCCGGCACAGCCTGCACTTGTGGAAGATGGGCGTGGCGATGCGCTGCCCGCCGAGGGACCTCATCTGCCGGCGGCCGCCGTTGAGGCCGTTGGAGCGCGTGTGCTGGCTCGTGTTGGACAGCACCTCCCGCCACGAGATGCGGTCATCCTCCGCGGAGATGAGGGGCTTCTCCTCGCTCGCCTCCGCCGCCTCCACCTTCTCCACCTTGACGGGCACCTCGATGGCTTCTCGGAGCTCCTCGGCCGAGCAAATCTCCAGCGCCGTGTCGCCCAGCAGGATCAGGCAGCGGCTTTTCAACTTCTTCCAGTCCCAGAACTCGGGGTCGAAGGGCCAGTGCATCTTGAGCAGGAGCAGCAGCTCGCAGCGCAGCGAGTTGGCGATGAGGCCCGTCTCCTCGGTGTAGCGCTGGTCGGGCTGCGTGTAGAGTGCCTCCACGGCGTAGAAGGCGTCGACTGAGGGCTCCAGGAGGAACTCGGTGAGCTGGCAGGCACGCCGCACCTCCAGGTCGTCGGGCAGCAGGCAGCCGACCGTCTTGCAGAGCGACGCCGTGATGCCGTGGCCCTCCTCCTTGGTTTCCATGCGAAGGCCGCGGACGCACAGCTCCACGCACATCGACGAGCCCACCGCCTGCGTCTGAACACCGGGGAGAACTGCATCAGCCAGACGTCAACGCTTCTCTACCGTTGCGTGAAAATAACTCTTACTTTTTTTTTGCTGCTGCAAGGTGCAAGCCTGCAATTTCCTGGTCATGCCACTGCTGGCAGAGAGAGCTCCATTAGCTCAGGAGGCTCCAGGGAGTCCCTCGAATGTGTATTTTTGATTTATTCTTTACACGCTGGCCAGCGGTCTTCAAGTACAAAGACAAGAATCCCCCCCGTATAGCCTTAACAAACTGTTGGGGGCAAGTGCTGTTATTGAGCACCTATGAAGGCCGGTACGGTACACGACGGGGCGGGTGGCCAGCATCATGCTCGGCCACCTTTGTCTCCTCAGTGAGGATATTTACACACTGCACGAGGTAGTCATTTGAGGCCGAGTCAATCTAGGGGGGGCCAGTACCGGTTCAGATAATCGTCACTGGTGTTGGCCGTGAACGGGAATCAAACTCCGATCGCCGGGTTCGTAGCGCAGTCCGCCAACCGCCACACTAGCACATCGCACGTGACCTAACGATCAACAAAACATCTGTTTTGTAATTAGCCTAATTATATTACATTTGTGTTAATTTGCCAAAGAATAAAAACAACCGGAATTTCGGTTTTTATTCTTAGGAAAACAGGATTTGCGATGAGATATTGCTGACGTGTGTTACCACCATGCATTTAAAACTACCAATACCACTGGGTACAGGGGACCTGTAAATTGCTGAAGACGGACACAATTCACACGTTCCAATTTCATATACCCATAAATGGCACGACTAGTGGGAAGCTGCACCTCCGACTGGATGACTTTGATGAGGAAGAAAAGATGGTAGACGTTCTTGGAGAGAGCAGCGAGCTGGCGACATGACTCCAGGAACATGTTGGGGTCGAAGGTCTCTGCCTGCCGCTGCAGCTTGCTCCAGAAGAGGGTCAGCTCCCTGCGGCACAACGGGGGTCACGGGTCAACGGCTGAACAGTCAGAATTCGATAACCCTTCAAAACGCCACCCTAGTGATTGGCTCACCTCGCCGCCGATCCTGGGTTTGAGCGGTGCACCGAACATCACCTTTCCGCAGCAACACTGCGCCAGGATTCGGTGATGCAGTGGCATAGCTATCGCGTGTGCAGGCGGTGCAACTACACCATGGCAAACAGGCCAGAGGAGCCCAGGCGCAGGGATTAAGAAGGGGGGCAGGGGGAATTTGGACAGGTAGCCCCCCCCCCCACCATTTTAATTCCTGGAACCAGGACGCATATTAAGCCACTGCCAATACACGCTCAATGTGACCGAGTGAACACCAGAATTTCCATTGTGCTTTTCGCAAGAGCAGCCATAATGTGTCACATGGCCAGAATTTAACAATCAATGTGAACAAACCAGTGCAGAAGAAGTAACGCTGAACGGAATGGCAGGCATCAGAAGGGTGTGTGTGTGTGTGTGTGGAGTACGTGATGTTGTAGTCTGGAGGTTGGCTGTTGATTAACAACCAAATAATCTATTCCTGGGGGGGCTGTGCTGTGAGCTTATGTTGTTGGGGGTTGAAGTTGGGTGGGGGGGGGACCTGATGGGTTAAAGTCCACGGCTCCACTGGCACTTGCCATGCGCGGTGCAGCCCAACGCGCAATGAAAAAAAAAACGTCAGCCCAGTCTAAACAACAAAAACATACCAACGACTTTGCTCCTAGGCGTCCCCTTGTAAAGGGCAATTGTTATCCAACCAGCTCTCGCTTAGTTAACACGAAGGAAGCGACAACTCCCCCCAAACCTCACGCCACGCTCCTCACACCAGCCTCCTTGACTTAAACAGGCCTCCTCTGACACACCTCGGGGTCTACCAGGTTGGGAAATAAACCTAATTGAATCTAAATATAAAAATCCTTTCTCTCCCCCTCTCAATGTATTCACAAATTGCTACCCGTGGTAATAACCTCCACAACACGTCATTCTCTGTACAATGTTATACAGAAGCATGCATGTGTGTGGTTTTTTTGTTGTTATCCTATCAAATAATGCATTTTACAGCCGCTTTGTCAACGAAGGCTTGCCCATTCCGTGTCAGGTATGGGAGGGCTGTTTGACCATACTTCATCGCGCTGGTCAGTGCGAGATAGTGAAAGTGGGGGGGGGGGGGGGGGGGGGGGGAGGTGGGCCAAGTCTGGTTCAGATATCACTCGCTACTGATGTTAGGTGTCGGTTGGTAATCAGGTCGACGGGTTCATGTCGCAATGGGTTAGCTTAGCTCTGCAACCACACATACTCCCCCCCCCCATCCTGTTTTCATACGTGAATTATTAAACCTATCTTGTTTTTTTTTACCAGCAGCTCTCAGCTCCGTTTTCACTGTGGAACAAAAGATGTCTGGAATCGACTGGGCCACGTCAAACTTGGCGGATGGCCAAACTATAATTCCACTGTGAAAGCAGGGAGACAGCAGCGCACAAGGCATGTGCGTGGGGCTGTTTCTACACGTTTGATACTTCCACGACGCTAATAACAATGACTATGTATTCTTCAGATTATAAGCCGCTCCTAAAAAGTAACACGTCTAATACTTGTGCCCGACGTCAATACAGTCATGTAAATCTCGTCGCACACACAGCTACAGGGTGCCGGAGGTGGCGAGATGTTAGCTCCCTTGTTGCCTGGGTTTAATCCTGACCCTGACGCTAATATGTTTGGAGTTTGCATGTTCTCCCGGTGGTCACGTGAATGTTTCTCCAGGTCCTCCGGTTTTTCCCTCCACATTTAGAAACATGCGTTCAGAGTATTTGATGTTATAAATTTCCCAATAATGATAAGCCACTTTATTGAGCAATCATTCGTGGCCAGGTTGCTTCTGAAAAAGAGCTAGATAGATCAGTGGGCATTACCTGGTAAAAAAACCTCTCATGGAAAATAAAATAAGTTCATAGTTTTTATAGCTTTAACTTTTGTTTTCAAATACAGGAGGGAAATATGAGTGTCTTACGATACGGGGAAAACGGTATACTAGGCTGAAGTTAGTAACATTGATTGATATCAGTTGCACTTCACGTTATGATATTGCTACACTTGGATTTTGTATTTGCAATGTAACTTAGCAGATTTGTTTTAATTACCGAGCAGTTGAAAACACTGGAAAAGCCGGCTTGTAATGATGAATTGTTTGATCGACGCAAGTTGATTCTTACATTTATTTTAACAATAAAATGTATCTATAGCCAACGCAGCACCCGTTCGCGGTGCAGAGATAAATCCCTATGGGTACAGGGCGGGGGTAAGTCAGGTGGCACGGGTGGCCCATTTGGGACCATCTCGTATGTGTGTATGTTAAACTTCTTTCGCACCGTACGAAGGCAACCGTGCCAATCGGAGGTCTCAGGGTCCATCTCTGCACATGTTTGTGGCCCGTGCCAGTAATTGCTAATCTTAACGATGTAAACAGGCGTGCCGTGGATGGCGGCATTCACGAAAGAAAAAAAAAATTCATCGAATTGCACTTGTGAGAATATATTTACAATTTAGAAATTGGAGGGGAGGGGTGTAACAAAACTGAAAAAAATAAGTCAGGAAAAAGGAGCTAGAATTGAGTCAAATTAAGTGCAGAACCAATTTTAACATGATGGGCTTTTTAGTAACCATCGACTCGGGAGAGAACCTGGCTTTTTCGCAGGCGGCTGGATGCCTGAGAACCAAACCCAGGACGTTAGCGGTTGCCGGCTGAGCGCCGTGACCTTTGCGTCACCGAAACACCTCGCACAACACGGCTATCGGCAGGTTCTGATAAACGCATGCATGCGAGCGATGGCGCTGGCTGGTGCCTCACCAGGAACACTTGAGGTCACCGCGGTGCAGCTGGCGCGTGAGCACGGCCGTGCACAGCACGAGGGCGGTGCGCACGTGCCCCGCTGCCTCCAGGTTGCAAATCATCTCCACGGCCTCGCTGCTATCCAGGGCCTCCACCTGCGGGCAGGGCACGGGGCGTCAACAAGACCGCGCGGAGACAGCGGCAAGAGCAGCGGCTGCAGGGGCTCCAACGGCGTCGCAGAGCTCGGCGCCGGCAACACTCAATCGGGAAGCTCACAACATGGTCGTCGTGAATCGTGCAACAACCTCTACAATTCTCACACCATCACCCCTCCTCGCTATGGCCACCCACCTCCTTACTTCGACCGCCCTTCGACCACCCCTCTTCCAAACCTCCGAGTGACCCTCTCTCGCGCACCCCTGCTGAACCCGTCCCTCACCCCCATCTGACCTCTCTTCCTCCTCACCTCAACTGCCTCTCTCTTCCTTACACCGCTTGCTCCGAAGCATTCTCTCATCCCTGCCATTCCACTCACCTCTCACCCTCAATCGCCCCCACCTTCTAATCCTGACCGCACTCACTTCCTCATCTTGACAGCCCTCCCCCCTTTGCAACGAGGCCCCTTGTTCTTGACTCAACCATCCCTCTACCCCCTAACTGGGGTCGCCAGCACCTTGCTTACCCCGCGCTGCCATCTTGCGCCGCCTAAGTTGCTCCCCTTCTTATTCAACCTGATTAGCATGGTTGGCTACGTACGGTGCGAAAGAAGTTCAACACAGACATACGTAGACTCACAAAGACCCACAGTCTAACACAGAGACCCATAATATAGGTTTTTGTGGATTAGATCGCGGAAATATAAATGTTTCGTTAAACCCTACGTGTTAAACTGAAAGAGACCCATAGTTTGTCATCCTTCCCACACGCCTCCGATGAGCATGGTTGGCTACGTACAACAGACATACACACATTTACCACGAGAGTGACTCATCTTTCTCACGACAGCTATACTCAACTTTCTCACATCATGTGCCACCCAACGCCACATTCTACCCAGGGCACTCCCTCACCACCCCCAAACCCAGCCCCCCCCCGCATCGCTCCGCACCTCTTGCATGAGCTCCTGGTTGGAGGAGGTGGACTCGCACAGCAGGGACAGGTGCATCTGGCGGAAGAACGGCGTGGCCGTGCAGAGGGCCGCTTGGCGCGTGCAGCACCGGGCCAGCGCCAGCGCACACGGCAGCCAGCCCAGAGCCACCAGGCGTTTCAGCCGCAGCTCCAGCAGCGGCGCACCCTCCACCTCCAGGTACGCGTCCACTGCGGGGACACAACAACCGGAATCGTCGCCGTCGCCAACCTTGCTGATCTCATCAAAAAACATAAACCATCGCGTGCCTCCGGTCATCCTCGCAGCGGCTTTTGGCTGTGTGGGTGGGTGGATCGGTGGGTGAGTGGGCCAGTGCGTGGGTGGGTGGGACGGTCGGTTGGTCGGTCGGCGGAGTCAGTACCTCGATCGGCATCCAGGGGTTTCTCCTCCAGGATGGCCTTCATCTCAGGGGTGTCCCACGCACCGCCGGCCTCAACCACTGTGCACAACGCGTGCAGCTCCATGTTCCCGCAAGCCACCAGCCTCTCGTGGCTCTCCTGCGGGCACACATCGCACGTGTCGGTGGCCACGTCTCGCCAAAGGCTCCGGACAAAAAAAAAAATATATACAAATTTACACGTAGGCTTTCGCAAATAATATTATCAGACTTTTTTTTTTGGGGGGTGATATGGCGTAAATATAAATGTGTCGCTAAATCCGCCACCACCCGACGCAGCCAATCGGTAAGGTGTTTCACATGAACAAAACGTGCAAATTAGTTACGAGTCCAGCACACCCTTTGTGTTGGAGAGTAAACTCACAATATTTACATTTTTTATCGTGTCATTCATGAAGAATTAATCTCACCATCGCTGAGGAACCACTTAAAGGGATGCCAGGCGGCGGAGCCAGCCAGCGCCAACAAATTTCCCTGCAGTTCTCCATATATTGAGATTGTTTTAAAGCCAATTAGCGAGAAATACATGTGGGAGCCCTAGACATCAACAAGAACAATTTACCTCAATACCATGGTTCTTAACCTTTACTGTAGCATGCACCCCTTTGGTTGTCATTCGTTAAAATATGTATAATTTTTATAAACACATAGGGTTTGATTCAACACAGTAGTTGTACCCGTGATTAATTTGTATTATCGATTATTTAACTACGAAAATACGTGGCATGTCTCGCACCCCCAAAAAAGGCATCTCGCACCCCCCAGGAGTTGCGTGCACCCCGGGTTAAAAACCACTATAGCATGGAGAATTGCTTCTGCAATACCAACATCGTCCAATGAATGGCGACACCGACAGTCAAAAAACCTACAGCCCAGAGGAACCGGATAGGTTCCACAACTTTAACTTATGGCAGATATTGGCGACAGCAGCAGGTGTATGCTTGTGCAACAGCTGCACTGTCTGGCTGCATCAGCCGTTGGCGAGTCGCTGTTGCACCAGTGGCGTTGGCCTCGACCACCTATTGACCACGACTGTTTGAGCCGGGGGGGGGGGGGCGTTGGAACCTTCGGGGCCACAGGCCACATACGGTCCGAGACGTCACTTCATACAGACTGCAGGCAAATGAGGCTGGCCACACCGAAACGGCCCACAGATAACGAGTATCCATCATGAACAGCATCTCAGCAGCACTGCGGTTCAACACTGTTTGCAATTTTTTGCATGCTCAGTCACGTCTGTCACTTCTTATTTCGTATGGCCGATGTAGATGCAGAGCAGCAACTACAATTTCACATTCAGGTTTTCAATGCATGTATGTTTAACTTATTTCGCACCGTACGAAGTCAACCGTGATAATCAGTGGCGCGGAGGAAGGACAACAAACTAAACACAAAAAGCAGTTCTAAAGAAATTAGTTTTCAATCAGGAATATTTTAAAAGAACGTAGTTCCAGTGGCTTCCTAATATTGGAAGAGCTTTCCAGACGGCTGCAGAAGCAAATCTTAAAGCGCGCGATGCGGTGACCATCTTTGTTCGATGGCCGAGTCAAAAAAACGCGTCAGGAGCGGCGGAGTGTATCGCTGTGATGTCACTGCAAGTACCTCTTTATATACAGTGAAACCTTGGATTGCGAACATAATTCGTTTCGGAAACGTGCTCGTAATCCAAAGCACTCGTATATCAAAGCGAATTTCCCCATAAGAAATAATGGAAACTCAGATGATTCGTTCCACAACCCAAAAATACTGTATTCATATAAAATTGATTAATACAAAATACCTTTTTATATTTTTATTATTTAAATTTAATATAAAGTAATCAAATGTATAAATTACATTTAATCGTGGCTGGCGTGAGGGAGACGAGAGAGAGGAGAGGAGGAGGGTTATTGTGTAGGACGACTTTCACTTGCAGTACAGTTACTAAAGAACAGTCACTACACTTGGACACAAAATAAAAAATGCTTTACGCACACACACGTGGTCACAACAGTATACTGTAGTAAACAGTATACGCTCGCACGGATGTTGACTATACGAGTGAGGCACGCCGACTGAGACCGAGCATGGGAGACGATTACCCAAAATCCCGCAGCGAGAGATAGAGAAGAACCATTGGCTCAGTTGTGATCAAGTGACGCTCGGCAGACAAAGCGTATACTGTACGTACTGCTCGTATTGCAAGACATCGCTCGTTTTATCAAATTATTATTTCTTTAAAAAATTTGCTCGTCTTGCAAAATACTCGCAGACCAAGTTACTTGCAATCCAAGGTTTCAATGTACTTGGTCAACCTTGCACATTCAGTTTACCGTTCTGTGATCCTAAAGGGGTGCACTGCATATTGTGCACATACAAATGGGGGTGATGAGAGGAGAATAAACAAATTCCCCTCTACCACCTGGAAATTCAATTAACTGTTGGGACAGTCATCGTATTGGCATATGAGGATTCTGTGACGAGACCCTGTATGTAAACAAGGAAGCTCAGTCGTTTCCCCCACTGATCCCAAGCGTACATGTCTCGACCACAAAGAGCAAAACAGAAAGCACAAGAACCTTGAAAGCATGCGAGCTTCATACTGCTGCCTGAGAACGGCAATGCCAAACACTGCGATTAGACAAATCCATTACCCCCCCCCCACCCAGTAGGCTAGTTCCAGTTGTCGAGAGACATCATGAACATCCCCCGCTGCTCTAAATCATTCCACGGAGGTAAAGGTAAACGTATTCACAGACCTCGGACAGTCTCATCACACACAGACGAGATTTTGAGCTAGAACTCATAACACTTGTGTACTGTAATAATCATAAAAATCTTTATGTAAACTGTGTGAAAGTTGCATTAATAAGAGGGTTTTGTGGGTTAGATCGCGTAACTACACGTACAGGTACTCGAATTGTAAATGTTGTGGATTTCGTCTCCAACAAACCGGTGTGTGCTGAACTAGTAACGAATTGGCACGTTTTGTTTACATGACAAACCTTACTGATTGGCTGTGTCGGGTGGTGGCGGATTTAACAATACATTTATATTTACGCGATCCAACGCCAAAAACAAACTCTTATGGATAATGTTGGTCGCGAAAGCCTACGTGTTAAGCTAGTTGCATTTAAACTGATCGAGAAAACAAAAGTATACAAATGAGACTAAATGGAAATAATACATTTTTTTACAATGGAGAATAACCGATTGAGGAATTGAATTAATTTAAAGACATAGAATGTTATGAAGCCCGAGATCCCATTAAATACCAGAGATTGAACCCAGCTCCTTCCATGCTGAGGCCAAATATTCCAACCCGGTCATTCAATTCCCAAGAGACAACCAGGCCCAGTACCCGGGGGGGTCTCAAGTTGCCGGTGCTGTGACCCCAACACGGCCATTGTGAACCCACAAAGACACCCACAACACAACACCAGGGCTTGAACTCACAACCCCCTTGGTTGCTGACTTTGTGCCTTAGTGCCATTGTGAGCCCACCGATCGACCCCCAGCCACCGCGCTCAAACCCAGAGCTCTCCAGTGCTGGCTCAGTGCCCTGACAGGCCATTATAAAACCACCAAGATGCACGGTACCCCCAGAGATCGAATGCAGAACCCTCAGTACCCTAACAAGGGGGGGTTAATCCCTCTTAAACGGGCAACCGGTACCAGGGCTCGAACCCGGGACCTCACCAATGTTGGTTCGGTGCCCTGCGTGGGCTTTGTGGAGCCCCCCCGAGGGATGCCCCGGCTGCCCCGTACAGAATTTAATTTAAATCCTTCTCAGCCAAGCGCGGTCCTTATGGGGAACTGTTTGTTTCTTCCTTCATTCAGGATCGATTGCAGCCTGCTCCCGCAACCCCAGCCGCAGCTGCCCGCGAGAGACAGCTATTTAAATTCAGCATATGCACTGTGAATGGCGACATTAACGCAGCTAGAAACAATGAATGTACCCAATTTAGATTCACGCGCTGCCGGTTAAAAAACGAATATGGTGTAAGGGCTCTTTTTTTATTATTCTCAACGTCAATGCCAGGCAGCGGGCTCGTGCAATTATAAGCACGTCGGCGGAGCAGGCGCGCGATGTTAAAACGTCAGTTACGTTTAAGACGGAACGACGGATTTCGCGATCGTGTCCAAGGCCACATAATAACCGAGTCTTATCAGCTCGCTGGACTCGCCGCTCCGCTCCAGGATTTACGGCGCACGCTCGCCCCGACTGCAGCTGACGCGGCCTCGCCAACGATTGGCAGTTGCCTAGCGACGATGCATTCCATCTGCTCGCCACACCCGGCGCAGGCTCAACGCAAAACCCGGGCCGGCTTAGCCCTACGCGTTCCTGCCATGGATTTCGAGAGGTCCGTGTGTGTTTGTCCCCCCCCCCCCCGTGCCATAAATGTCAAAAGAGCTGCCCTCCTAACCGACACCCCCCCCCCATCGCACAAGCCCTCTCTCATTACAGTTCCTCCCGCACGCCGTTGAAGTGCATCCTCCGTTGTGTTTAAAGCCCAGGGAATGTGTGTCTTGAGTGCGTGCTGCCTGCGTGTGCCTGGCCCGATGACCGGCCAGCAACAGCCAGGCCAGCAACAGCCATCGTAAGCACACACAATAAAAAAAACACCACGTAAATCAAAGGAAATAAGACTTTAGGCAAATAAACGGACTCCATTTTGACTGCCACTGTATGCATGAACTTCTTTCGTAACGTACGTAGCCAACCGTGCTAATCGGAGGTGCGATTAGCACGGTTGGATATTTTTTTTTAAGAAAACGGAGATAAATGTCATTAACTACGCCTCGCTCGCACTCAAAACCAAAGGGACACAGCGAAATCCGTCATGAAATGGGCCCCCCGCTCGCTGGTGTATTATTAAACAGAGTGCCGGCTACAGTTTACGAGAGCTACAGTTTACGAGAGACCTGTTTATTTTTTTTAAGAGGCACATGATGGGCGTGGGGGGGGTTGGGTGGTACGGGAGGGCGAGAGAGGAGAGAGAGAGGTAATTTACAGCAGATGGTTAATTTGGCGCAGGACCCGGCAAGGAGCCTCTCAATCCTTGATTCAGCCGTCCTGCTATGGATTATGTTCCATAGCAGTAACAACTGGGGGGGGGGGGGGGGGAGAAAATCTCCATTGCAGCCGCCCAAGTCCTTCACAAACGGAGGAGCCCATGCGGCCTGCACAGCCAAAATGCAGCAAAAACCCAAAAACATCCTCCCTACAGTGTGGCCACGGCTCTGGAAATTAAAAATCCTAATAAAATCACGCTCCCCCCCCCCCCCCCGTCCAACACGTCGCCCGAAACGTCGGGGACGTCATGCCGTCAACAACAAGCGGCACGACCCCGAAAAACCTATCTGGAGAGCTTTCTCCAGAAGTTGGGGAGCGAGAGGGGGTTAAACGCGCACAGCCCAGGAAACAAAGACTCGCTCACATATATAGACCTCCTTCGGGCCACAGGAAGGTGAAGGGATGATAAAGCGAGTACCCCGTTATGGGCTAAGTTACGTGATTATTCTATGGAGAAACTGGTACTCACCATGTATGTATAGTGCACCGCGGTGACGAGATGTTAATTACCTCCCCTGGTATACAGGAGGTCGTGAGTTCGATCCCAACCCTGACGCCTGTATATTTGGGGTTTGCGTGATCTGCTCGTGGTTGCGTGGATCTTTCTCCGGTTCCTGAGGGTTTTCCCTCTACATTTGGAAACAAGCGTTTAGAGTATATGGATGCTATAAATTTCTACGTAAGCCACTTTACTGAACTATAATTTGTGACCAAGTCGATTCTGAAAAAGAGCCATAAAGCTCAATGGGCATTACCTGGTAAGATAACAGATAATTGTTCAGTTTATAGTTTATATTATATGTATAGTCCTTTTGTAAATTCACAGCCGGATAAGGGTCTTCCCCACACTGTGAGTTGCATGTGAAGTGGTGAAATGCAGAGTGGAGGGGGTGTGACTACATTCTTTACGTGCAGCCTCGTGTATAAGTTTTGAATAAACTCCACCAGGAAGCCCGAGCTCCATTTGCAGATCCTCTCTGTAACACCGTGCAGCCCGATCATTCACGAGTAGGGGGGGGGGGGGAAATGAACACTGACACAAACACAACTGTGAACATCACATGTTCCACCCACCACGCCCCCCGCCCCTTGGAATTTCTGACCCACAGAGCGGTAGCAGACCGGCTACACCCATCGTGTCTCATTTACACTGTTGCTAAAATGCCGCGTTGCTTCAGGTGGCACAAACTTCATCAAGCGTCGTAACGTTCAGCAACGCGGAAGCGACGAACGCCCCCTTTGCGCCACCGCATTGCAGACGGCGTTCCAAGCAAGGTTTCGGTCGGTGTCAGTCAGGAGAGATCTGACCGATCCGCAAGGCCCTTGGGGCGACTTGACTGGACGGCGCACGTCCGGAACCGTCGCTCGACTCACCTTCACGGACGTAGAGAAGGCCCCCCACGTGTCCCCCGGAACCCCCGACTCCGGTAGGTGCAGCAGCAGCTCAAAGCAGCTCCTGCGGAGGAGGGGACACATGGCGCGTGCGTGCGTGCGTGCGTGCGGGGGGTGAGCCGTCGCTCGTTGATGTCACGACATAAACTATGCACCCGCATGGATCCTGGAATGCTTTCCAACATGCGCTCAGAAGTATTTAATAAGCAGTGATGACCAGCCCTTCCGAGCGGCAGATGAGATTATATCACACGACGCGTGATATGTGCCGGTGTGCAATGATGTCACACGTAACGATATAATCGGGAGGCAAAGCCAAGCGCATGACATACATCACCACCTTGGTAGACAAGGCTATGATACTTTAGTTCTGATTTAATTACAACCAAAGTTTTTGGTAACCCTTTGATCAATGTGGCCGGTTTTGTAAAGGATGAGTCGCTTATAGCAACGCAACTTTCTCTGAAAGTTTAATGTAAATTTGATCAACCCTGCATTGACTTTTTCGAGACCACCCTACAGACAAGACAGAGCCAATGCATTAACGCTTACAACGTGGGTTTGAAACGCATTAAAAATATAACAGCTCTTATCCTAGCCCATGTGTCCCAGGCTGCCCGACGCGAGCTGAAAGCTTCATTAATAGGGAAGGGAAAACGTAAAAATTGCCTTTGACCAATCACCCGAAATGATGTAACGACGCACTGTAACTTCAAATATTTTTTCTCCAATTCACGAAGCGTAAAACTCGTGTCGAACAGCAAAGGGACACAGAGCAGTGGCACACAGGAAGAAAATGACAGCTTTTTTTTAAGTTAAATATTTCAGAAAGCACACCCAAGATGTGCGGCAGGAGAGGGGAGGAGTCGAGACCGGTGGAGCTGGCTGGCGTGAAACACAGAAGGGATAACTTCAAGAAGAAAGAGGAAACTGCAGGATTCCTGGGATGTTTCAACAGCCCACAGAAAGTGCAAACAGAACGACGCTCTTGTAGGGTTATGGATTTGACTTACACGCTTCTGTGCTTAACATTAGAAGCACACTGTTGCGTCGGGTTAAGTTCATCACCGATGCTAATGTGTGAACATATTTCGCCTCCACCTCTGATTAGCACGGTTAGCTACTACGTACGGTGCGAAAGAAGTTCTACATACGTACCTATGACAAATTGCACTCTAATATGCTGCTCCGGCATGCCCAAAGTCAGCTGGACAACAAAGTTATTTTAATGTATGTTTTGGTGGAGAAACCGAAAGTGAACATGTAAAAAATATTTCTGTTATCCACGTGCTTATATTTTTGTCTGTTTATCACCCATATCCCTGCAAGACCGAGGGTAAGGAATAATTTTTACCATGCAACTATAAGATAGTTTACCATCTAAAGAAGCAAAATGAAGAAGCGTTTATGGTTTGCCGTGTGTTAACGCTGTCGCAGGTACACAAGAAGAAATGGAGAAAAATAAAGATAAGATTGCTGCTTTTGCTGCAGAAGTAATTAGCAACTGCATTTGTGGGAGAAATGCCAGAAACGGCCAACGGTTCTGGAGAACAGCCGAGGAATGCACGCACAATAACAACCGGCGTTCGCCACCGAGTAGCAGTGATGTCGCCACTGTACTTGTTCCAGGCTAGGTGCACTTTGAAGGTGGAGCACGAGCATGCGCACAGACAGCGTCGACACTGTACACTACAGCCTGTGGCCGAGTGTTGGCTCAGCTGTGTTGGCACTCCTGCCCTACATTTCGGTTTCATCGCGTTATCAATAATCACAAACATAAGAACAGTATTGATATCCTGCGCATCTTGAAATGTCGAACAAGTCCAGGCGTGTCTGTGTGTTTCATTGTATTAAGGGATACTTTAGTAAGGAGGGTGCGCGATGGGTCAGGGGGACGTTATTCAGGAGGAGGCTGTCGTCAGTGAGAATTGGAAATTGGTGTATGTACAATATGGGATATCTTAGTAAGGAGCGTGTTGTATTCAGGTAGGCATCTTAAAACAGCTTTGAATAATAGTAGGATAATGATTTATTTTTTTATGATTCAAATAACAATGCTATTCAACATATTGTCAATCAGTCACCCATCAGTAGGTGACTATATAGTGAGCAGTCATAACCAAGCAGCCCCAGGTCACCCTTGCAAATGCGACTCCTGGTCTCTTTTGAGTTCTCAAATTATTCAACAAAATAAACTTGAAACTTGAGACCGGTCCACTCTCCCAGTTCGCCTTGTTTTCCCACTATCCAGGTCAGGTTACGACTGTTGCCAAAAAAGGTAAACTTGGATTTTTGGAAAGATTAAAAAAATAATTTTCACATTTTGCTCATTCGTGTACTCTGGTTTTTTTTTCAAGTTTGAAGCAGAATGACAAACATCTCAATATCGTGTTTACCTTTCTTGTACTTTGCACTCCTGTTGTGCTTTTGTATTGTTTGTTGGATTCCTCCGAGATAAATAAAGATTCTGATTCTGATAATAGGGGGGGTAGAGGAGTTGCCCAGGTAAAGGGTGGGGGGGTAGGAGGGGTGAGATTTTATCTGCCTCGCCTGCTATACAGGTCGTGGGTTCGATCCTGACCCTAACGCCTGTTCTAAATTTGGAGCTTGCATGTCTCTCTCTCTCTCTGCGTGGTCGTGTGGATTGTTCTCCGGGTCTCTCCACATTTAGAATCAAGTATTCCGCTGCTCTAAATTTCCACACGATAAGCCACTTCATCGAGCAATCATTTGTGATAGCCAGGTCGCTTCTGAAACGGGGCTATACAGCTCAGTAGGCCTTAACTGGTAAAATACAAAAAGTTTATCTTTTACTTCTAGTTAAGAAAAAGACTAAAGCACGGTCAATGTACTCACAGCGCGAGCCGTCCCAGCAGCAGGTCCACGTTCTCGCACGCGGAGGAGAGGAGGGGCCGCGCAGTTGCCAGGCTCGCGATGGCCGACTCGTACACGTCCATCAGCTCCAGGGCGTTCTCCGTGACCTTCCATCGTCCCGCTTGCTCCAGCAGCACCTGCGGCGATGCAACGGGAGACGCGGCGGAAACACGCCGAGTTAATGCAATCGCGAGCAGAGTCACCGAACGTACGAGGGCACCGCGGCGGTGCGCTGCCGCGGTGCAATGGCCGGCGCGGCGGGCTTGCAACAAACCCGGAGGTTGCCGGTTTCGATCCACGCCCTGGTGCGGTAATTGAAACAATGGTGCGATTTATTTCAAATCAGAATAGCGCGCAGTGCACCAACCACCACCGTGCCTCGATTCGAACAGCGCAAGTGGTTAGCGCGTTGAACCATGAACCCGGCGAAATGCCTTCACCAATCTATCCTATTTTAATTCGAACAGCTGTTTAGGCGACGCACAAGCCTGATGATTGGTACACCTGGGAACTTTTGCTGTGGTGGGTGTGAGAACTAGATTATAACAATCTCCATACCAAAGAGGGCTGCACTTAGGGCATGCTCAGTGTGGATTAGCAGCCGCCGCCCACGCGGGGCAAGCAAATCACACGAATTAAAATGAAAACAGCGGCGCAGATGCGGCACTGCGGGTCGCAGGGGTCGGTTTCACCGATGTCAAGACGCACGCGGCATCACAATCAGCCAAACGCCGCCTCTCTCACAGCCACACAGCAACCCGAAGCCTCATTTCCATGCCGTGCCGCTGGCTCACTTAAAAGGCTGTGACACACACCAGGGCAACCGTGGGGGTAAATCGCTGCCAGAAATTATCACCGGCGATAGTTTCTGCCACCATTTTATGATTGTAACCAAGAGAAATGCTGCCTAAATCAGGACAAATCTGATCGCTACTCCCCACTCGCGGGCAACTGGGATGGGCAACTTCCAAACGGAATACGGAGGTTGCATGACTACCCCGAGGTTGTCGTGCTCCCTGTGAACTAATAATTGCTCAAACGCACTTTTTCCAAGCAACTTAGGGCAACTCTGTCACTCTACGCCAACGCTGTGCCAAGTTGCACCGAGTTGCTCAAAGTAAAACGCGTTTCAAGTGACGGCCGACCGGGCGCATCGCGGCTGTGACCGTGTGCCGTTATACACCCCGGCTTAGCGGGAGGGATTCTTCCGTGTAAACAAAGCGTAGCAATACAGTACTAGGCCAACATAACGCGCAGGTGTCGTGGGACATAACACTCGCCGTTATGAAGGAAAATGCACGTGTGTGTCTCGGCGTCTGCGTGTGGGTCTCCGTTTGTCCGACTGCGCGTACGGCGACCGTTAAAGTTGAGAGGGCTGGAGGTGGAGGCTGACGTAATGCACCGCGATCAATGGGAAGGGGAGGGTGGGAGGCGGGGGGTCGTGGCTGGATCGGCCACTGAACAGCTGGGACTTGGCCCATGCGGCGGCACACCAGTTGCGAAGCACTGATCTGCATGATGAATAAATTATGTTAATTTGTATTTATCTTTCTACCATCCATTGTACGTCATTTTCGGGGCACATGATTTGACCCGCGGTATATCCGAATCAGCGGTGTAATGAGCCATGTTATATACAGGCCTTTCAGTGTAGTAGTAATAATAAACGTAAAACCACTGGGGCATCCCCCGTCACGCTTGGGACTAAATCCAGAAAGCGTACTGCTTTCCCATCAGAGCGATGGTTCCGGTCAGAACACTGCGATGAACGCGGATGGGCGTGCGCTGTGCTGGAATGCTGTCGTGCGACAATACTGCAGCTCGAACAGCACAGCACTGCAATGAGGTGGCCGGGTGGCTCACAGAGGTCACGCCGGAGGGGGCAACGCTGGGCCCCCCCCCCGCCTCCCTAGCCTCGCGTGACGTGTCACCATCGCACGCTCCCATGCGTTATTCAGAACCTAAGAGCCCTATTGTGCAAGGTGGCTGGGTGGCTCAAAGGTCAGAGCATTCAGCTGGCATCGCTGAGATCCTGGGTTTGATTCGCAGGCATCCGACCCACCTGCGATTGAACCAGGTTTACCACGACAGTCAGTCGATGGTCTCAGCTCAGTTACCATTTGATATTGCAAAATTTCAGCTCTGAGAATTACAAATTTCGGTTGACCGTCATGCAATGAAAATTCGGGCAGAGCGGCTGGGAAAATTCTGATACCTACTTACTATGTGTACCAGCGGTCACTTGTGGGGTTATCAGAGGCTAGTTCTTCAATAACCGCTGCTGTGGGAACTTCTCTACCATTAAAGGATATGCTGCTCGACAGAGATTAGAATACATTCTTCGTTGGGATAAGATTTTACATTAAACGGTCACTCAACCCCATCCCTAACCTCATAAATGGTATACGATCTTGCCGTACTGAAAATAAACGAGATTTTTCGGTGACCACCACTTGCATAGGTGGTCACCGACATGTTCCGCGTTTGTGACCATGAACTACTCGTGCCAACTACACCAGGCAACCCAGCTGCAGTCGTTTGACCCGACGTACACGTACGTCAATCGGAACGTAATCGGACATAAAACGCCATGCGGGAATGACGTGCGGCACAGTTTGGCGCCAGCTATCGTAGAGTGCGGTCGTGAACGGGACCCAGCCCTGCAAATTGCAGACTTCTTAGATTGGGAAACTTCTCCCATGGGTTTTCGCCTTGTCGTGGTAGAGAAGCTTGTTGTGTCTCCATGACCCAGAGAGCAAAGCCGGTGGGAGCCTTAGGCTCCCAACAGTTCCAACCATGCCGGACAAGTCAAAGGGTAGAGGACAGACGACATGGACAACCCCTGGTCCTCGAGGCTGGGGGTTGGGTGTGGGGCTAACAACCACACTGGAAAAACCAGAATTGTTATGGAAACTTGAAAAAGAACACATTGAATACCGGACCACCAGGGGGCACCTAGCCACAGAACTGGCAGGATGACCCTCTTCAATCAAAGCCCTCATAGGGACATTGGAAAGGTGAAAAGGGGCCTTCAGGATCCAAAGCACAACATCGAGGTTGGAGCCTGGAAAGTACGTTCTATATACCAGACGTCCAAGACGGCCCATGTTGTCCAGGAGATGATACGCTACCAAATTGACCTCTTAAGGGTGAGCGAGTGTCGCTGGACTGGATCAGGTAGGATAATTTCATCAGAAGCATATAACATCATTCACTCTGGCAGAAAGGATGACAAACAGGAAGTGGTTATTGTCATGTCCAAGAACCACGAAAAATCACTCATAGAATGGGAATCAGCACGCTTCAACTCTAAATTCTGCAAACTAAAAATCATTCAGTGCTATGCACCAACAAATGACACAGAAGAACAAAGCCTTGATAACACTGCTCTCCCGGACACCACAAAATGACATGCTACTTATTACTGGAGACCAAAATGCCAATGTGGGGAATGACAACTCAAACCGCAAACAAGAGCATGGGCAAACACGGAAATGGAGAAATAAATGAAAACGCCGAAAGACTTCCGCTCCGTCAACGGCCTGGTGATTGGAGGGAGTATTTTCCATATAAAAACATACACAAGTTAACATGGACATCTCCGAATTGAAGAGATAAAAATCTAATTGATCACATTCACTTTTTGATACGAGAGCACATAGGGGGGGGGCAGATGTTACAGTGACCACCATCTCATCATCGCAAGGATCAGACTTAAGCTGAAGAAAACACAAGACCAAAAATTAAGACGAAAGAGATTGGACATCGAAAGACTCAAAAACCCGGCACTAAAACAGAAGTTCAAACTAGAACTTGGGAACCGGTTAAAAGCACTTCAAGATTTAAACACCACAGAAGAAAACCTAGTGGAGGATCAATCGGACATCAAGAAAGCCTACAAAGAGGCAAGCGAGAATATTCTAGACTACAAAATGAAAAACTCAATCAAAGCCATGGTTGACTAACTCCACCTGGAATGCAATCTAAGAAAGATCTAAGGCAAAAGGAAACCTGCTCAACACTGAACCTGCTCTGTTAAAGGAAAAGAGGAAAATTGTATACAAATAATTGGACAAAGTATTCAAAAAGAAAGCAAGAGCCGATAAAAGAGCTTACCTTGAAAGTAAAGCTAAACTCGCTGGGGAGGGAGCGGCTGTAGTGGAAAGGAGCAGTCTATAAAATCACAAAACAACTTTTGGGAACAAGAAGTAAAACTCCACCAGTTCCAAGACAAGGAAGGCACGACCATCACCGCTGAGAAAGCCCAGGCAGAAAGATGGGTTGAGCATTTTAACACAGTCTTGAACAGACCTCAAAACCAACTTCTCAATTCCAAGATGTTATATATGGCCCACCACTCCCCCCTTAACCAAATAAGAGGTCAGCAAGGCCATATCCACAATGAAATCAGGAAAGGCTCCAGAGGCATTGACACCATCCATGCCGAGATGCTCAAAGCTGATTCAGACACCGCCGCTAATGCACTTACAGACCTGTTCCAACGCATATGGGAGAGTAATAGCATTTCCAAGGACTGGACAAAAGGCATAATTGTGAGACTTCCCAAAAAGGGCGATCTTGCAAACTGCCACAACTGGCAAGGAATTACACTCCATTCGCTTCCTCGCAAGGTCTTCTGCAAAATCCTGTTCAACGGGATTAACAGTGCCCTTGACCAGACCATGCGGAGAGAGCCAAGCTGGTTTTAGAAAAGCGAGAGAGGCTGCACGGACCACATAATTCACTCTACGCAATATCATAGAACAGTGCCTGGAATGGAAAGCCCCACTACTATAGCCCAATTTCATCGACTTTAAGAAAGCTTTTGATAGCATACACAGAGACAGTCATTGGAAGATCCTGCCGACATATGGCATCCCACAAACTCATGGAGCTGATCAAGAGCTTATATGAAGAATTTGAATGTGCCATCCTGGTCAACATCACTACCTCAGACTGATATTCTTGGTTCTTTCGGTAAAGTCACGTATAAGGGAAATAATAAAATAATAAAGATAAAACAATACAATTCTCACGATGTTTCGATTGCAAAAACCGCCACTTTTTTAAAAAAAATTCTTGCTGTGGTTTTCACACCTGATTATGATTGCTTGTGTTACAATCGAAACGTCGAGAT